TACTGATTTTCTGTCCTTTTAGCAGTTACTGAGAGCGGAATGTCTATATTGTCAACTATATTTTTGGATTTATGTCTGCATTTCTCTCCATTTTTTCTTTATGTGTACTGAAGCTTTATATTATAGTGTTTAAACAATTTATACTTAATCTAATATAAAATAAGGTAGTGAGATTTAAATATTGTGGCTTATTGTTGCTTTTGATTATCTTATTTGTTCATTTTAAATTTTTAATATTTATATTTTTCATATTTTATTTGAATTAATTGAATATTTTTATTATTGCATTTTTCTACCATATTGGCAAAATAGCCACACCCCTGTATTTGTTTGCTTATTTCTTTTAGTACTTGCCTTAGGCCACAGGTTTTTAAACTGCATTTTGTCACCCATTATCAACTGGGAACTTGTTAGAAAAGTAACCACTTTATTTTTCCAATTGTCTATTTTTCAATATACTTAAATAGTTGCACAAATAGTTGTTACAATTCACCATGTCTGTTTGTGAGCATAATGAATCTTGGTCAATGTCACTCATTCATCATTCTCTCTCATCTCTTCAAATGCCACTCATAGCCTCAGTTTATCTACTTTCATATCCACATGTGTACATTGAATATGATAGCTCTTTTTAAGACCTTCTGTGATCTAACTATTTTATCTGAAGGCCTTAAGGTAATTGTGGTTGCATTAAATCGAAACTATTGTTCTACATATACAACACACCCATTAGCTTATTAAGGTCTACTTGAAACAATTGTACCACTTTCTGTACTTCCATTCTGCCATCGCTGTCATTCATCTGACCCCTACACAGGTGGTAAAACCTGTTTTGACATTTTTGCTTGAAAAAGTCATGTGTTATGGGTTATGAGTCATGTGTTAAAGAGATTCGAAAATAGAAAAATATGTAGACTTTATATTAACTCACAGATGTATGACTTTGGTGCTTTTCACTTCTCGGAGTAGATTTAAATTTCCAATTGATTTCAATTCTCTTCTTTTTTGGAGAAATTTCTATCAATGATGCAATAGTGTTTCTTTGCTGGGAATAAATTCACTTGAATTATTTTATTCTGAAAAATTTTTCTTTCGTTTTCATTTTGAACACACTAATTGCTTGATATAGAAAACCTAATATTTTAGTTTATCTTCCACACACTTTGACAATGACATCTCAATGTTTTCTGACATGCACTGTTTACCCTCTAGTTATAGTCTTCAATGAGTCTCTTCTTCCTTCTCATGACTTAAAAATTTTTCTCTTCAGGATTAATTTTCAGCATTTTCATTATCAGTTTACTTTCTTCATACTGGTTTTATGACTTGGGGTTTCATAAAACCCTTCCACTTGTGAGTTTGTTGGTATCAAATTTGGAGAAGCTTTTGGTAATTATTTCACCCATATATTCATCTTCTCCTTCTGTATTCTTTCCTGCTGGGACACCATCACATTTATGTTAGACAAATTGTTATTGTCTCCTAGGCCATTCTTCACTTGCTTAACCTTCTCTTTGTAGGATTGTTTGTATTGATGCTAATGCTCTGTTTGTAAGTGTATTTATCTTTGCTTTTGTATATATTATTTCTTCCATGAATCTTATTCTATTAATTTACCCAGTATTGTTACAAAAATTGGATTTTATTTCTAGAATTTGTATTTAGGACTTTAAATCAATCTTCCGTCACTCTTCTACTCCTATGAATCCTTTCCTTTGAACATAAGAAATGTACATATTATCACTATTCACAAGACCTTATGTGATGATTACATATTTTTTGTTTATATTGACATATTTCTATTGAATGACCTTTCTTTTTACATTGCTTTACAAAGGTTATGATTTTTTTTAAAAAAAGGTCACAAATGCAGAGTATTAAATAAAAGAAATTTTCTCCACATTCTGGAGGTTGGGACTTCAAGGTCAAGGTGTCGCTAGTCTTAGCTTACCAAGTATTCTCCTTGTCTTACAGATGGCTGCATCATCTCCATCTCCATGCACAGCCCCAGTGTCTCTTCTGCTTATACAGATGCTGGTTAGATTTTATTGGGGTTCACATGGATAGTCTCATAAATTCATCACATCTTTAAAGTCCATTCTCCAACAAAAGTCTCATTCTGAGACACTGGAGTTAGGGCTTCAATGTATCAGTTTTTAGAGGGAACCCAACAAGCTTGTAAGAACCTTTGCTATAGTTGACATTTTCTTTCTTTTTGGAGTGTGTGTGTGTGTGTGTGTGTGTGTGTGTGTGTTTGCTAGCAATGATGGCAGCTACATATACGCAGACCTTCCTGTCCTTCCTGGTAATATCTGATGGTGCTCATTTTAGATGCCAAATTTTACTTATTCTTTTCACTTTGGTTGGACTTGTTCAGGCAGGTAGGTCATTTATTACTTGGGTTCAGATGGATTACTCCAAAATTTCCTTAAGATTCAATATGTGGGCCTGGAGTAGCCAACAATGTAAGGCTAATTTTCTCTACAACCTTGGCAAATATGGTGATGCTTTTCTGAGAATACTACCTACTTCCCTGCAATTGTGATTACCTAAGGTACTGAACTGCTCACAGCCTTGCATCAAATCTGAAAATTGTTTGGAAGGTGGATCCCTGGTTGTTTCTGCAGCCAATCTCATATGCAGACTCCTTTCACATATGAGCAGATTACTCTTGCACTAAACAATTGAGGAATTTTCTCTGTTCGACACTGGATTTTCTTTTTGAGGATATCTTTTCCCTTCTATGTTCTTCTCCACAGCTTCTCATTTGTTTGCTCCTTATGAACCTCATTTTTGTCTATTCTATGAGTGAATGCTTGGATTGACTGTCTCTGTGTTGTAACCTGTAGCTTGCCTGTAGGAAATGAGAAGAGACAACTGCTGGACTTAGCTTGCTTTCCTTTTCTTTTTTCTCAGGTATCATTTTTCTGTGCTCAGTGTCTGAAAATATTTTTTTTCTTTTGTTACTATCCTTCCAATACTATGGATCAAACCAAGGGCTTCACACGTGCTAGATATGTGCACTACCACAAAAATATCAGTAGTCTTATTTTTAATATTTTGGACTGGAACTTGAACTCCAGGCCTTGTGCTGTTGTTTGGCTTTTTCACTTGTGACTGGTGTTCCGACTCTTGAGTTACACCACTTCCAGCTTTTTGCTGGTTATTTGGAGATCAGAGCCTCATAAGCTTTTCTCTCTCAGCTGGCTTCAAATTGTGATCCTCAGATCTCAGCCTCTTCAGTAACCAGGATTACAGATGTGAATCACCAGTATCCAGACCCATTTTTAGAGCATATATATATATATATATATATATGTATATATATGTACATATGTATATATGTGTGTGTGTGTGTGTGTGTGTGTGTGTGTATAGAGAGAGAGAGAGAGTAAAGATATTGAACAGAGGGGTTATAGTTACGTAAGCAAGGTAATGAGTACATTTCCTATCGCACATTTTACCCCCTCCTTTGTTTTTCCCCTCCATCCCTTTTCTCCCCACCTCCCAAATTCCTCCCCCCCAACCAAGTTGTAAAGTTCATTTTCAATAGTGTCTTGATATCTCATTGTTACAATGGGTCATCCTGTATCCTTATTTCAGCATTTTGTTATTTCCCTTCCCCTCCCCAAATTAGAAAAAATGTATATAGAAGATGCAGGGCACCAGAATCAAATACAGTGAAAACTGGTTATGTCATGGAGGAAGAACATACAAAAGAAACAAAAAAAATCACGTAGTACATTATAAGTACAATGTAAACAACAGCAAGATCCTCAGATCTCAGTGTCTTCAGTAACTAGGATTACCAATGTGAATCACCAGTACTCAGCCCCATTTTTAGTTTTTAATACAGTAGGATAAATGTAGTCTGCTTTCCACTGCTTCCAGTGAAAAAAAGTTGTATTTTTCTAGTTCTTTGTTTAATCTTTCAAGGTAAAAATTTAATGAAACATTTTTCAGTATTTGCATAATGTCAGTATAAATTTAAGTAGATTCCATCATTTTATTTCTGGCAGAAATTTTTATTCTGTGGTAATGAGGACATACTACATTTGTTCCAGGTATGATAGAAATGTTAATCACATTGATATCCCAGCAAGAAGCCTTTGCAAATCAAAAGATTTCGGAGGAAGATCAATTTGCAATACTATTAATTTCATATTTATTAATTACTGAAATTTTGTGTTAGGAATTATAACATTTTTTACAATTTGACATTTATTACGATTATTATAGTACCTAAATAAGAAGGAAAATGTATCCTGATTAATATGTTTTGTTCTGTGTGGAAAATTAGTCATTTAAAATTGTCTTTGGTAAAACCATTCCCTCTTTCATTGTATTCACTTGGAAATATTAAAAAATAAGCCTGTATCAAGTGGCTAATTAAAAAAGAATCAGCAAGCCAGGTGTTGTCATCCTAGCACTCAGAAAGCTGAGATGTGAGGATTATGATTCAAAACGAGCTGGTGCAGGAAAGTCTGTGAAACACTTATCTCCAATGAACCCGCACAAATTCTGGAAGTAGAGGAGTAACTCAAATGGAAGAGGACCACCCTTGAGTGAAAAAGCCAAGAGAGACTAAGTTCAAGCTCTAGTACCAGCACCAAAAAATTAAAATTAAAAAAATGTCAACAAACTAAAATGTTTTTAGCTGTTGGAAACTAGAATTATTTGGGTTATTTTTCATAATATACTTTCTGGTGTGACAAATGAAATAAAAAAATCCTAGGACACACTGCTCAATCTTTGATCATGAGCCAATCTGTACCCAGATTTACATTTTCTGAAATTTCCTGAATTCCAGTATGAAAAGCACAAGGTAATTAAAATACATTTTTTTCTGGTGGTCATTGATGATAGAAATCACTGGGTTTTCAGTACATAAAGTAGCCCAGAGTAACCCTTGTTAATACCTTGCATCCATGTTTGTAAAAAATGCATCTTACACTTTCTTATTTTCCACCTGATTTTCCCTCCCCTCCCTCTCTTTCCAGGAAAACAGTTGGTGTTTTCTGCTGTGGACCCAGTTCCATTTCCAAGGCTCTTCATAAATTGAGTAACGAGAACAACTGCTATGGTACAAAATTTGAATACAATAAGGAATCTTTCAGCTGAAAAGCTTGGAGGTGAAGCAGGACTCTAAGGAAGGAATGTGTGCAATTTCTAAGACTTGGAAACTCAGCTGAATCAAACAGCTATGTGTGCCAAAGATTAGCAAGGCTGTGTTTATTTTTTTATTTATGATTATTTAAAATGAAAATGTAGAGAATGTGTCAAAATGACAGGTCACATTTCGTGTTTAATCTGCAAACCAAAGGCCCTGAAGAATATTTGAGGAGATGATTCACTTTTCAATGCTCAAATTAGAAGAACACGATTAGATGCACACTATTGATTTTTATGGCCAAATCAAGGGCAACCTAGTGAGAAACTGAACATAATCTAAAGCTGATAGCTGTGGACTCCTTAAAATGTTTTTGGTTGAACAAATGCAAGATTGAATAAAATTAAAAATGCATTGAAACTTAGATTACATTTTCTACATCGAACATCAACAGAGTAGCTTAAATTTGGAAAAGCTCCTGGCATATGTATCTGATATTTGAAAATGCAATACAAGATTCTGTATTGATACGGGTACTTTGTATCAATATCTAATTTTCCTCACTACTGATGTAATACCTCTACTTGATGTTTGCAGACTGTATGCTAACTGAAGCTTTTGTAGATGTCTGTCTTCAGTCTAGGGAAATCTGCTCTTGCTTGCAAACATTAGCACTAATAATTTAATAGGCCCATTTTATCTCCAGTTTACTTAATCTACTATTTTTTATAGCAATAAAATGTCCTTATTGTAATTTATAAAGGAACACGTATGCCAATAACTCCTTCTCATCTTTTAAGCATTTTGACCTGTTTTTCACAGATAAAACTTGACTTAGTTTGCAGCCTGTAAGATGGCTTCGTTTAATTTGCACATGAAATCTAAAAGGATCACTTATTAGAGCAATTCTGAAATATAAGACCTCATTGCTTTGTTCCATGGTGGTTGATGATGGTGATATTGAAAGTGTGGCTATATTCCTGAAAAGGGACTTGTTGCTTTCATTCAGATGAAAGTAGATATATATTGCTTGTGATTCAAATGTTAGTGTAGATTTAAGAACATTGCTGTTGCACAGTTTGGTATTCGGATGAATTACTATGTTTGTAAGTTACTGTTCACACCATGCCGTCTAATCATATCCCTTTGTTATCTCTGGCTAGTATGTTTTTGACTCACTTGAAAAATCTACTTCACCACCTTAAAAGAATTAAGGCATTCATACAGTTTAGTGATGTTATTTAGTAGACATCTAATAATAGTTATTAAATAGAACACATTGCTGAAATCAGCAGTCTCATCTGCCTTGCTTTTGTCAAATTTTTGCATATTTTATAATATGGTAGATGCTACTGTCATTTATTTGCTGTGATTTATCCATCATGCATGCTCAGCCATCCAGCACTTAATGATCATAAGCATATTTACTTGTAGATATTTCTTTATTTCCTTTGAAGTTTTCCTTCAAAGGTGAGTCAGAAAAAAAAGGATGGGAAATGTGCAATGCTTTTACAAACTTAGCTCTAAAGGCATATTTAATAACCAATATATTTTGGCAATACATTCTAGATTAAAAAGAATTTTCATCAAAACACAGAACAAAATGTACTAGCAAAGAGAAAGTTGAACTTATCCAGGTCTCTTGTGCAATACTGATTCCTTATTGATCATAATTTATTTATATGATTATGTTAAGGCATCTAATTTCAGTAAGACAGAAGAGTTTTCAAAAGAATGCTGATAATGCAGAGCAAGTCTCCTGTGCTAGATGAGCCCCCTTTCATATTCTTAATCCCAGTATCTTTTCAAACATCTAAGTGTCAAACATATTTAATTTTTGTTTCATATAAGAAAGAAAGATTTCATCTGGGATATATAAGAGGGCTTTGTTTGGTTTTGAATGATTTTTTCTATGGGGAAAGTTCTTATCATACATATCTTAAATCGTGAATTTCAGTGGCAATAAATATTAAAATGAAAATGGCATCCTTGAAATTCATATAAGCCCACCTTGCCTTTGCAACAAATAAAGCAACAATGATGGATCACAAGTCAGTAGAAGTCTGACAATCTAGTCAGGAATTAGCATTTATATGCACAATGTATGACTGCCTTTGGAATTTGAGTTCTTGTGGTATGAACATCACAGGCTAGTGGTGATTACTGCTAATTGCTTCTCACACTGGGGTTGAGATTTCTCATTTGGACTTGATAGGAATTTTTTTTATTGTAAAAGTAAACAGAGGGGTTACAGCTACATAAGTTAGGTAATGAGTACATTTCTTTTCAAACAGTATCACTCATTTTCTCTTTTTTTTCCCACCCAACTTACATTCCCCCCAAGTTGTATAGTTTGTTTCTAACATAGAGGAAATTCTTAATCACTTTTAGGTAATGCATTGCTTTGAGAACCTAATTCAAAATGTATACTATATAACACAGTACATATAATTTAGAGCACCACAAGTAATCTCTAATAGCACAAATATACATTTAAGAACATTCATACAAGTCTTTCTACCTATATATTTTTTACTTGGTGTTTTGGAAGAAACCATATTTTATAGACTCATAATAACAAATTCATTTTAGAGGCAAGATTTTCTTTATATGCCTCCAATCAAAGAATTCAGTGGTACCTTTCATTAATTTTTAATTTTCCTGTTTGTCCATATTGGGGCAAGTAGAGGCTATTATGTTACATTTTAAATAATGTTACAAGAACATTTCAGATTCCTATATGCACACATATGATACACATACATATATTAGGAACTTACATAACTTTTGAGAAGCAATTGCAAATGAAAAAGTGCTTAGTAATTCCTTATTTAGTGACTTGAAAAATACCAAAAGTGTACTATGACCGCACAGGCATTTTAAAAGGGGAGGAAATCTATGTAAATAAGTCACAGCCTGGTGATTTTATCTAGACAGCTCTGTTATTTATGATCTTCCCCCCACATCAGGCTTACTTTAAGCACTTATAGCAGAGAATAGATTTAAATTGCAGGACATTGTTAAAGAGGCTTGCTAGAGATTAAAGAGCTTGTCTCTGAAGATAATACCAGTACTGAGGAATGTTCATTATACTAAACAGAGAAATTGAGAAACTGAGTTGACATCTATTCATTCAGCTTTCATACTTGCTAGGCAAGCCTTCTACCACTTGATACTCAGGCTCCAGCTCTTTCATTTGTATTTTGTTTTTGACACAAAAGTAAAATTTTCTCAAAGCTTTGGCTTTAAACTTCCAATCTTTTTGTTGTTGCTGTTGTTGTTGTTCTGGTGCCCTTACTGGTTCTTGAACTCAAGAAGTAGCATTATCCCTTAGATTTTGGCTCTAGGCTAACTCTCTACCACCGGAAACCTAGCTCCACTTCTTTTAGTTTGTTAATTCGAAATAACTGACTCATGGACTTTCCTGCCAACCTTGCTTCAAACCTGAATCCTTACATCTCAAACTCCTACATAGGTAGGGTTACAGTCATGAACCAATAACACCCTGCTTCTTCCGATCTTTCTGCCTTTTCCACCCAAGTAACTAGTATTACAGAAATGTGCCACAAAGGCTGACTTGGTATTTACCTTTCAAAATCTCTGCTACTGAAAAGTTATTTGTACCCCACTGGGAAATCTTGTAATATATTTAGTTGTATTAGTTTGAATCTCCTATAGAGACCCTATATTTAAAGATGGGTAGAAGGTAAGGTACTGATATACTTTGAGAGATAAATGGAGAAAATCACATTCCTCCCTGTTACTCTTCTGTTTCTAGATGAGTTATTCTTACGTTTCACCTATGAGAACCTATTTCCAGGTGACGTTTAAGTTTCCTATTATTGCTGGAAGGAAAAGTTGGTTAGAGCTTTGTGCATGGCAGTAATGTTTCTGGTACAGGTTAATAAATGCTGGTTTCAAATGGAGATTCATAGAAATCATAACCAAGGGAAAAATTGATATTAAACAACTCCTGTTTATATATGGTCATAGTTTGCTTCTAATCAGAAGAGTCAGTCTTGGTGAACTAGTGAAACAGAAAACAAGTGAAATCAAGGAAAACAATACTGTACTTCAACAACAGGACAATTACAGCCCTGCTTCTCTGCATTTCCACTGTGCTGCCCCAATTTTCTTTTTCCATCCTGTATTATTTTATTATCCTTAAGTAACTGTACATAGGGTTTCAATTCAACATGTGAAGGGTTTTAACACAACATGTCAGTTTGTATGTATAATGAATATTGATCAATGTCACTCCTTTAGTTGTTCTCCCTCACCACCCCAACCAAACTGTCACATCAGTCAAAGGACAGCATTGCCAGAGGAAAGAAACAGTAAATAACCAAGAAGAGACCATTAAAAAAGAATGCAAAAGTGGTTCCTTGAATCTTTTAAAATTAGCAGGATTGAAGTAATTTGCTTTAGGACAAATATCAGTAATTTAAATGCAGGATGCCAAACTATGTAATTAAGAATTGATAGGGACAAGAAAATTCTTATAGAAGCAAAAGCAGAAGTAAAAAGAGGATTAAAAAAGAAACTGAAATATTTATTTGTATCTTTATTTTGGTTTTTGAAAGCAAGAAATACTCTGGTACTGAGTTAATTTTAAGGAATCCTTTCTCATTTCCATTAACACTAGAATTTATTAGAAGCTTTACCTTCAGTCAAAATTATATCTGACCTCTTTAAGAAACAGCTTTAACCTACAGACAACCTCAACATTTAGATAAACACCAGCACAACATAAACACTCTATTATATATGGCAATAAAGGAAGGGAAGTTGTCATACATTGCTTCAGTTGCTGACACCATGCATTAAAAATTGTCATTGCAAGGTCATTTTTCATGGCTATTACTCTGTCCCTAGAATGAAAACCTTCTTAACAAAAATACAGACATTGAAAAACACATTCTGTTGTATCAATACTATATCAACAATATATTTGCCTGAGAAACACATTCATTCAAACATGGTTATCAACTGTGTGACTACATAATTCATTTTAGTTATGATAAATCATCACAGGACATAAAAGAAGTCTTTGTTTTGTGCTTGAAAATATACTTTGGGCAACATATTGACTAAGGAAAAAGCAGTTCCATCTTCCTTTCCTTCCCATGTAAGACATAAAGGAATGTCAAAATGTTGGGATAAGACCTGTGCTAAACTCAAATTCTTACTGTAGTGCTCCATGCAATACTATCCAGATTCCTGTACACTGGTTTAAGAAAATTCTGGAGCTATTCGAGTCCGCTTTCTCTTTAAATACAGGTCTGATAGTTACTCAGGAGGCTGAGATCTGATCACAGTTTGAAGCCAGCCCAAGCAGGAAAGGCTCTGAGACTAATCTCCAATTAATCAAAAAACAAAAAACAAATGGAGCTGTGGCTCAAGGGGTAGAGCACTAGCCTTGAACAAAAGTAGCACAGGAACAGCACCCAGGCCCAGAGTTCAAGGCCCAGGACTGGCAAAAATAAATAAATAGATCAATTAAAAAATAGGTCTGCTAAAATATGGAACCAGCCCTGATGCCCCTCAGTAGATGAATGGATATAGAAAAAGTGGAATTCTATGCCTCCATCAGAAAGAATGGCATTGCCCCACTTGTTAGGAAATGGAAAGACTTGGAACAAATTATATTAAGTGAAGTAAGCCAGGCCCAAAGAAACATAGATCCTTTGGTTTCCCTTATCTGCAATAACTAGTGTATGTCTAGGACAAGCAGAAAAAGTCAGAAGCTATGTACATGTGACCATATAACATGATGCTAAGCGAACCAAGATAAGGATACAAGAATTTTTATCTTTCTTGCTGGTGTTTTTAATGGATTTATAATGTACCATGTGATTTTTTTTGTTTCTTTTGCATGTTCTTCCCTGATGACACAATGCATTTGATTCTGGTGTCCTGCATCTTGTATATACAATTTTCTAATTTGGGGAGGGGAAGGGAAATAACAAAATGCTGAAACAAGGATACAGGTTGATCCATTGTAATGAGATGTACAAGACAATATGTTGCAAGTGAAATTTACAACATCTGGGGTGGGAGAGGGAGAAGTTGGGGAGGTGGGGAGGGAAAGGATGGTAGGAGAAAAACAAAGGAAGGGGTAACTGCTCAATACAAAATGTACTCATTACCTTATTCATGTCACTGTAACCCCTTTGTACAATATCTTTTATATGTATATGTATGTGTGTGTGTGTGTATATATATATACATATATATATGTATATATATATGTATATATATATACACACACACACACATATAGGTCTGGACAGCTCCCAGGAATTGTTAACAGCTTTGCTTTAAGTCATAATCTGCTTTCCAAATGCTTTGAGAAGAAAATGTATTTTCTTTTCTCAGTGAGAATTTTTTTAATTGTGAAAATACCGTACAGAGTGGTTACAATTACGTGGGCAAGATAATAAGTACATTTCTTATCAAGTATTGTTGCCTCCTCCTTTGTTTCCCCTTCCCATACCCCTCCGCTCCCCGCCCCCCCCCCCCCCCCCCCCCCCCCCCCCCCCCCCGCCTGCCCCACCAAATTTGTAAAGTTCCTTTTTCCACATAAGGACTTGTACATATTGTTGCAATGGGTCCACCTGTATCCCTATTTAAACAATTTGTTTTTCCCTTCCCCTCCACAAATTATACCAACATCAAATACAGTGAAAACACGTGTTATAACATGAGGGAGGGACATACAAAGCAACAAAGAAATCATCTTATGAATATGTTGGAAACAATAGCAAGATTTATTTTACTGTCAGTGGTGGACACAGTTGAGACTTCTTTAGAAGATGAGCATAATTGGGTACAATATGGTTCTACTTAGACACTTTGCAAGTCTCAGGCCGTGTAGTTGTTGTGGAGGGAATTCTGTCCTAGATTATAATTCTGAAGACTTGGGAAACATTCTTCTCTGAAATGCATTGAAACACATAAAAATAGGAATGATAGGTGATACCAACCACAGCCTAATTTATAGGGATGCAGTGTGGGAGAACGTGGATCGGAACAGAAATAAGCAGGATTA